GTTTCAGTAGCTGAACAGCAGCCTTAGCAGCGGGGGTATTCAGGCCGCCAAGAAATTTTCTCATTGACCCATAAATTTTAACACTATAGCATTAAAGAGCTTGTGTCGCGGAAATTCCGCCGTTAGTATCGGCACCGTTGGACTATTGGTTGTGAGCAAAAAATCGTCCATGGGGGGAAAAATTGAGAAAAAATAAAATAAATTAAAGCTGAACATTTTTGGTCCCACTAAAGATGGAACCCGGGTTTTTCGCATGGCAAGGAGAAAGACACGATGTTACTTGCTGGTGTTTCGAGAAAAAAGCACTACGTAAATGCCATGTAGTGCAAATAGTCTCCTTAAAGGGACACTGAATTCAACTATTCGGTCGACGTTGATTGTCGAAACGGCTGTCCAGAAACCTCGTAGTGTTACTTTTGTGCCAAGAAAGGGCTCATACTGAAATAAAATCCCGTTTGAGTGCTATGCTTTAGGTTACGCACTTCAAATTGCCCACTTCAGGAAGCGGACTGACCGGACCGACTTATGTCACTGTTGCCGTACACAACGTTGCCCGGCTTTACTGCGCTAGTAGCTGCAGACCAAAAGCAGCAAAAGCCACAGCACCAACAACGGCCATTGTTCAATTTCCCACCATTGGCTTCGAGATTGCAGACGTTTTGTTTCAACTGCACCCAGCTAGATGGCACCACCTGTCCCCTGTCACAACGCAAAAAATTTAATTTTCGAAATACTCACGCCATTCCCCATAGTAACGTGCGGCGATTTCTTTTTCCATGAATCAAGCAGAACTCATCAAAGACACTGACATAATCGAATCAGGGGGTACAGGGTGGCATAGGATGAACATCGTTTGAGTGCATGGAAGCTAGCAGCAAATTCGAATTTGAGAAGCGTTTGAGAAAAATGGGAGAGAAGCGTTGGGCTAGGAAAGGTTTCAGTTACTTGCACATGAAGAATGTCCATACTAAATTGAGGAAACGAACTCGAAAGTTGTCAAGCAAGTATTTAGACAACAGCAGAATACCAAGCCAAAAGGACTCATTGGTTAAGAAGAAGGTGAATGAAACAGAGAGGGACATGTGGAAGAAGGGAATGCTTACAAAATCATCACAGGAGACCTACCGAAATTTTGAAGGAGCATTGACATCCCATTTACTCATGTCGAGATTTTTACGTTAACGTGTAGCTATAGCTCCCTAGTAGCAATTCGCAACCTATAAGATATCTGAGTGACGAATGAGTATCTGTAATGTTTATTAATATATTCGCTATCGAATGCAGTTCGAAATGCGTGGAAAGCCCGCCAAATGGTAATGCTGGCGGCGCTGCCTCGCGGCCACGTCGAGGCCGCTGCACAGCTGATGCCGCTTCCACAAAAAATGGTGACGTCACACTGGCGTTTTGTCTACTAGAAGCGCACGTACACTCAGTCCAGCTGTGTCTCTGAAGGCGTAGATATGCCTCTGTCGCCAATATCGTCGTCCTCGCCGTCGTCGCGGTCAACATCGGCAAGTGATGATGACAGTGACCTGGAATTGGGTATCGCCGTGATTCGCGACGATCCTTGCATGACAAGCTTCGCGTTAAGTGCATTGTATTTATCAGTCCCGGCCGTGATGTCGGCGGTCAGCAACACCACCTACGCACATCACGTCACGAACCTTCGGCGAGTGAATCTCTGCTTTAAGCAGCAGCAAGGCACACGGTAGGAGTAGCCCCGGCCTCGAAAAGAGGCCTCGTACTGTCAGTGAAAGCCAACTGGTTCGCCAACGAAGAATTCACCCTGTAGCAGCTCGCGGCAAAAGGAAGGGAGCAAATGCGGCTGTCCTTCACAGGCGTCCAGTCCTTCTGTCCATTGGCGCGGCGTGTAAGTCAAACCACTAGCTGCGTTGGGGCTCGTGGCTTGAAAAGGCATGAAACGCCACGCGCTTTCCGCTTTTCTCGCGCCTCAGCGTGCAGGTTCTCACTACGCAGTGGTTTCCCGACATTCTGGCACGCATTGTCACTCTGAATGATCATACTGACACGCAGTGGAGCACAACGCAAATCAGTCGATGCGAGACGATAAATCGCAGGCACGCTTCAACACAGCAAGGAGAGCCACTAGTGAGAGCATGGTGGGGAGTCGGCTCCAAACACACTCAGAGATCGTCAACGTCATCGTTACTAGAGTATCGTCACTCAGGGTGGTATTTGTGGAATATCACACCGAACACGTAGCACTAGTGTCGATGGCGCAGGGCAGTCGATTTTTCGTTTTTTCTTCTTAGCTTTTCTACGCTGTTTGACGTCAAAATTAAATAACTTCGACGCAACGGCACCATTCAAATTTGGCCAAGAAGCCCTATGCATACCAAGTGATGGAATGAAGGGCACATCTGGATCTTGAAATGTGATGTCAGTGCTCCTTTAAGCAAGAAATTGCAAGGGAAAAGATCTACGAAAATGCTCGGGGTAGTTCTTCGCTCTTTGAGGCTAGAACAGGAGTATTGTTTACCAAAACGTACTGAGCAAAACGCGAAGGCACATGTACGATGTGTAGTGCGTGTGGAGAGGTGGAAGAAACGGCTGAACATGATAATGTTCTGTAAGGGCCCCACCCTATAGTTGAAGATATTGGCACGGAACCTTTAAAAGCATTGGGGTTTTGGGACAGTGAAGGGAAAATAGACTTTAAACGGTTAGAAATAACCTGGAGGAGGCTAACTGATTGGTGGCTACAATCGAGGCGAGAGTGAAATTCAATCCTTAAACACACAGTGATAGTACTTAACTTTAGCCTAGGTGACGTGAAGGACCGCCTGATCTGAAGCGCACATGTAGTCGAATACATCCATCATCCATCCATCCATTCATGAAAGCTGGATATGTCGGGAACTTTGTAATCATCGGCAAATTTTCGTTCTCAGTTATCGTTTCTTTTCGTGCATCTTTTTTTCATGACTACTAGAATTAGTATCAACGATATCCTTGGGCTAGGTATTCAAAGTACAATTTCAATTTGGGATTTGCTTTTGTGTGCATCAGTAAAAGGTATGTAAAAGTAAAGTAAACAATAACTTATGAAAGGGAAAGATGGCAACCACTCAGGAAAAGCATTGGTACCAGGTTCGAAGACCGGACCAGGGCTAATTTTTTGGCAACTAACAGGCGTTTCTTTCTGAGAAATGCGTACGAATTTTCTTGTGACTTCGTTCTGCAAATGGGTGGTTGTCTTCTTTCTCTTTCGTAAACCTTCGTTCATCTTAAAGGTCTCCGCAGAACTCATTTCTGAGAGTTTCTGTGGGGAACTTAAGAAAGAAGTGCCCAGTGTGACATTGAATAGAACCTTGTGCAACTTTAAGTTCTGGTATTAAAGCGAGAACCTCCCCTAAAGACAAAGCATTAACAAAATTAAAGCGAATTGACAAGTGTGTAATAGCCATCGTTACTAGCGGCAGTGTATGTGCAGAGCAAGCCATTTCACACGTGTCAACCTACTGTGGCGATGAATGTATTTCTTCAGGGATAATACGAGTTCGTGTCATCGTTCAAGGCCATATCTCTGATTCGACTTCAAATATATGAGCCTTTAAAAATTTTCCTACTGTTATGCAACGTGACGCAATAACAATAGCACAGTCATGGAAACATCCATTTTAGAACACTTGAACTCATAAACTCTTAATATAGGCTCATAATCCTAACAAAAGTTTTAACTAAATTTAGAACGTAAGCACCTATTTCCTGAGAAGATAAACCAACGATGTGCTAAAACGCATTGATATCACGTTAGTTATAACTCTTGCAAAACTACATGTTTTTATTGTAAGTTTACTGTTTGCATGCCATGACGGAAAAGCTTTTTTTGTTGTTGTTGATGATAACTTTGTGTGTGTGTAACGTGGCACAAGAAAACCACAATCATGCCTGATCTCAAAATTAGATGTAGATACCACTTATATGCAATCGTGTGGTAGAATGTAAAAGTTTATTTCTAATTCTCATAAATAAAGTTTTTTTCATTCCATTCCAGTTCTAATTCTCAATTCTGTTCTATTATTTATAGAAAACTTGTTGGCAGTGCTCTATCAGCTGCCTGTAACACACTCAATATGGTGACACACACAAATCAAACAGCACGATAATTCTGAAAATCACAACCTCCTTAATGAAGTGCCAAAGCGGCGTCCTGGTTTTTAAGAGCACGACAAGCGATTGCCTCGCAGAAGGGTAGTTGTAGTTACATGTACCCTTAACATCCTTTGACCTACAGGATTTAATAAGTGATCAGTCGGCACCTATACGAGATAGCTCTGCGAATGTTCTTCCCCTTATGATGACATGCCTCTAATGTTAATTTGCACGGCGTGCAGACACCAACAAAGGTGAGGGAACTGAGCAGAGGCTCAAGCACAAGCGTTAACTACACCTGTAGTGTCGAAGTTACGTGAGTATGAAATAAATGAGTTACTGTTTAAAAAGCCAAGGCGTTCACTCAGCAGTTCGAGAAAAGACCGTTGCAAGTTCTTGCGTGACAGTCAGAGGTGACGTTGGCAATGTCCTGACATCACACGACAAAGGATGGAAGCAAAAGAGAATGGCTTTCTGGTACGTATCACTGCAGCCTTAGCTCATTGTTATTTCAGCAAATTTGAAATCGTCATTTCAACATGTGCGTGCGCATAAGCCCATTGTACGCCTTGGGTGTGGATAAATGCATTATACGCGTTTTGTTCGTGAAATACATAACGTGACGGGATTAGTGAGCAGTTGGAACTATTGTTTGTAAACACAGTTTATTGAGGATATGGTCGAGATATCTTCTCGCATTCCTATGGTCACCTATATTTCTGTTGCGGTTTTACAATCCAACGTCCCAATTTAAACTGACAGTTTGCGGTGCGAAGCAAAAGTAACCAACTTTTCATTGTTTGCTCGCAACAGTTGGTGAGTTGTAGGCGGTTCAAGCTTGTTTTCGGACAATGGCTACTCTGTCATAGCATAGCTACCATTTGCAAAGGAACATTTCAAGTGTCGCCGCACAGTCCAAAGAAAATAGGAATGCACTTGGGCGCTTTTGCAGGCTTTTAAACACCCCACTAAAAGGCATAGTTTCTACGAGGTAAGTGAACACGCTTGGTCATAATCCGAAATATATATCGCGACTTCCAGGGACTACGCCAAACGGCACCCCGCGTTCACCGGTGTTAAAAGTTGGGACTCAAAGAAAAGAAATGAGCCCTATTTAGAGGCAGTATTTTGTTGCTTTGAATCAAGTGCATGTTCTCCATTGTTTCTTTATGTTAATTCTTCAGCTGTAAACACAAATATAACATAACAAATTACTCCGTAGCAAATTGAAATAACTGCAACCTAATTTAACCTTGAAAAATAATGAACTCGTGTGAATAAAAGAATGTATACACCTTTGGGCGTTCATGCGCATTTGAAACCGAAATACGCACGGGAATATTGAGAGATAGAGAAATACTAGCCACTTTTATCAAATCTCAATATGGGTATTGGCACCCTTGCGGTCCGAATGTAACGCCTATTGAAGGGAAGGCTCGACAGCGTGTTATGCTGCAATAAAGGCCTCAAATGCTACGACAAAGCAAATAGCGAACAAAATTGAAGCAAACAGTTCATAAGAGTACTGAGCGCTGGGGAGTTGGTAATTCATAAGTACAAAACTGCGCGAAAAAACGACAAGAAACAGAGAAGGCTCAAACACAAGCACTGACTAGCAACTGAAGGCTTATTGAAGAAAACACACGTATAAATTAAAAAAAAACCATGACGTAAAAGATTAGAGGTTGGCAGTTATATAATCTATCCCTAGTTAGTGCAATGTGACCGGAGGCCTAACGACACACGTGTCGTGATACCTGTGGCAACACATTTCATGCTCCGTGCCTTTTGTCCAACCCCTACTGCCTCCATTGTATGGCAGTGACCATCACCTCAATTACAAAGACACAACTGTTTCTATTGCGTATAAATTCCCGTTGTTATTGTTGTAAATAATTCTAGAACCGGTTATATCACCGCAGCGCACATTTCCAATAGAAAACTTGCCTTTATCAAAGCAGCAACGGCCCTTTTTAGCAGCGTGTTCGCGCGTGTTTTGAACACTCACTTCTAACCTAAAATATAATGGCGGAGAATAGCAATAATGTCCTTAAAAATAGGGCTTGCAAATAAAGACTAAGAGTCGCATTCGCTTGGTATGTGTAATGTTAAAAGCGAAATATAAATTCAGGCAAGGTGCATCAAAAGAAGCAGGGTTCTATAGATAGTTTCTGTTAGCGTCGACAAGGTACAGGGCGTATGCCTTGCTTTGACTCACAAATCCACTGGCGCTCAAGAAAACTGGATCTCTGTACCTAGCGAAATAGTGCATAACATCTAGAAGAGCAGCTATCGCACATGATAGTGTAATGGGCCCTGCCCAGCTGGAGCATAGTCAAAATTTCTTGCCGGGGAAGGGGCACCTCTTTGCCGTTGCATTGGCTTGGGGGGCGGGGACGAGAACATCCTCAAAATGGACATTTTTTGCTTTGAAAAAATTGCTTGCTCATTTGGGGGAAGGGGGGAGGGGGATGGTATGGATCGGATCTGCCACTCCCCGGCTATGCCACTGTTGCCCAAATGATGTGCTTGTGAACATTACCCTTCTTTCTCTTCTCACCGTCCAATAATCACGGCTACGTCCACCACGGTCGTTCTTTCCTCCTCCGCCCCTCTTTAGGTTTAGCTCGGTTTTCCTCCACAGCCTCTGTCATTAAAGTAAGGTTCGCAAAGCGAACAGAAACATGCCGCTAAGGAAGTCTTGTGTTGTGCTGAAAACGATAATTTCTTTCCCGGAGTGTTAGCTCCTGCAGCAATGCTTGTTAAAAATATGTTACATGCATTCATCTTTCTCTCAACTTTTAAGATCTTCTCGTTAGTGGCTTGTACTTCTCGATGACTGTACTTCGGCGTTTTACTAAATTATAAGTTATTCTTAGCAACCCTCATTCCATTTAACCGCACATCTATCTATCTATCTATCTATCTATCTATCTATCTATCTATCTATCTATCTATCTATCTATCTATCTATCTATCTATCTATCTATCTATCTATCTATCTATCTATCTGGGTTGACTGACGGATTATGGGAGAGGCATGCGCCCTGCAGGGAGCGTAGTCAGGATGATGATGATGGTGGTGGTGATGATGATGATGATGTAATTTAGTTTTCCGTGCTAGATTTCAAATGGAATTGCAGTGATTCCGAAAGTAATTCTACCGGACACGCCTGATTCAGCTTTGAAAGCAATTTCATCGAACTCTACAAAAACATCTTATAACATCTTCGACGCAGCTTAGCAAACTGCGGTGGGAAGTCGATAGCGAGATCAGTTTTATAGAGTCAACGCAACGTCATATTGTTTCTATGTACACACATGCAAAGCACAGATCAATGGGCAGTAGTTTTAAAAACTGACTACACATTTTAATGTTTTTTACTTAATTGGTCAGAAATCTACCTTAGGTATAATAATAATGTTGGATCAAAAGGGCAGAGCTCGCGCATGTACATCTACTGAGCACAAAAAATTTGGCATGAGGCATGGTGCCGCTTCAGATTCTAAGTAGGTTAACATGTTTGCGAAGGGTTCACTAAAACCTTTAACGTCATAATTTTGCATTGAAGAATATCCCAGCAAAGAGTTTTCTTGCGAAGTTAACTCAAGAATTGCAGTAATGCAAAATTGCATTGTCGCTTTAATTTGTTGGGTTTTAACGTCCCAAAACCACCATATGGTTATGAGAGACGCCGTAGTGAAGGGCTCCGGAAATTTTGACCACCTGGGGTTCTTTAACGTGCACCGAAATCTGAGCACACGGGCCTATGTCATTTACGCCTCCATCGAAAATGCAGCCGCCGAAGCCGGTAATTGCACCCGCGAACTGCGGGTCAGCAGCCGAGTACCTTAGCCACTAGACCACCACGGCAGGGTGATGCATTGTCGCCTCTATGAGAGACGAATGTAGGAGAATATTGCAAAAATTCTACACGCCAACATTACCGACGGACCAGAGTTTCTATTTTCTATCATTAAAGATGCGTCGTCGCACAATATCAAGTTAAAAAACCACGACAAGTACCACAAAGCAACGCTTGCTGCGAAGTTGGAGTGTAGTATATAAACTCTGTTGTTTTTGTTTGACTTGGTAATGAAAACAAGCGTTACCCATGAAAGAAACAGCCCTATCTTCAAAAAAAATTTCTAAAGGGTACACCACTTCTACTGTGAAGCATGCCTTAGTAGTGTTCCAGCCCTTAAAATACAACGTTTATCATACTTCACAAGGCAAGAACCAGTTATATGACATTTTTTTACGGTATCAATGAAGAAGCAAATAATTTTCCAAATTGTGCATTAGACATCACCTTTTGTGAGCTCTTGCATGCTAGTGAGCTGTTCACTTTAGATGTTAACAGACCTGTGTACCTAATGCTGGAATCCATGACCAAAACGCAGGTTTTCTTTTAGAAGTAGGCTGAATCAATCGGTAACTTACGGGAACGAAATTGACCTAGTGTTAAATAAAACATTGTAAAACAAATCTCTGTGTTCTATTGATTAGGTATTCTATCACCAACCAGTACTGAAGTAAAGAAATACACTTAGAAAGACTAAATATCTTTGAAGCATGAACTAACAGACGCCTGGTCTCGTAGTGTGCAGGCTTCATATGATAGATCGATTTGTCGCACGGAGAAAACAGCCTCAGTGCAGTGCACAATGCGTGCGCTTTTAAACACAAAAAAATACGCCGAAATAGTGTGATGACGCAAACACAAATCATGACTTTGATGCAAGCAATAAAAAAGCCTTTTTTCAGTAGAAGCAATAACATTTTCTCTTCGCATCTTCAAGAAACCGCAGAATTCCTTGAGCCCCACATGGGTCCCTCCTTGTGGTTTCTCCTCGGCGTTCACTTGGCTCTATATTTGGCGGCTGCACCTCAACACCACCCCATCGGGTCTGCGAACATCATCTTTGACGAGCACAAGGGATGGACGTATGCAAATTACGTGAACTCGATACTCACATCAGCGATGAGCAAAGTGACGGAAGCCGAGTGGAACTACGTGACCAACCTCACGGAGTACAACAGGCATGTCAAGGTCAGACATATCCTTTGTTTTCATGATGTGCATTCGTATTTTAATCAACAAAAAACTGGTTCTCTGCTAAATATGGAAAACACCTCTAAAGGTAAACACGTGGCACCGATGCACAGCTTTTTTTCACAGCGTTCAATGCCCAGGCGATCTCCAAAGTACGAATTAACTCCGTCACCTAGATAGATTAAAGCACTGTTTATTTTTAGCACAGCAGTTAGGTGGATGATTATTTCTGACGGGTCGACAGTAATGTTTCCGGACACATATACCCACTGTTTAACAGAACAATAAAAATAGAACGCAACTTGTATTTGCCCACGACAGTCCAAGCGAAGAGCATGCGATATTCATCTACCAAAGAGCCAAATATTTTTCTCCAACAACAAATACACTAATCTAGGATCATCTTCCAAATTTATCTCCAAATAACCGTTGTTGATAGTGGCCGCCATGTGGCGCTAATGAGGGTGTTTTTACATCGGGCTTAATTAGTTACATCAGTAGGGTCTATTGTGAAGTGTTAACTGCAGGGTAAATGAATTTTCTTACGCTATAGAGGGCCCTCTAAAAAACCAATTCAATTTTTTGGCGCAAACGTTCAAGGTACGCATTAGGGAGCTTTAGAAAACCGTTTGCAAACGCTGTGGGCGTTGCGGGCGAAGCGGGCTCCATAGGAGTTTTAGAATAGCGTTCGCCCTGTTGCGAACCAGAACACATGATCGCAGCGACACCGTAGCCTCAAAACCAGTGTTTTCGGGCCACATGTGGGCCGCCATCACCGCACTAAATTACAGATTTTCGGCGTGTGGTCCACGAACGCGAACGCCGACTCGCGTTACGACGCATGCGCAGTGGCATCGACCGCACCGCAAGGGCTCGTGGTGCACTATTCTAAAACTCCCGTTTGATTTGTTCGGGCATTTACAGAAGACTGGAGAGGAAATATGAAATAGAACCACGTGGTTGCGCTCATGCACGACGTTATTGCGGCACGCTTGACAGTGTTCAGAGCGATACAGCGGGCATGAGAAACTGGGCGAAATGAGCGGGTGCTGTTCCATTGGCAGCAACTTCCCAGGGCGTCATCTTTTTTCACGGACACTCCCGGAAAAGAAACACCGTTATCAGGAAAAAGAGATAGGCTCTCGGTGAGCGAGATGGTCGTTGTACTAGAAGAGCGATTGGAAACGCTGCAACATATGGCTGAAATTTGGTAGCTTATGAGCGCAGTGAGAGAGTTTTAGTACAGTTTCTTTTGCCTTCTTCAAACTAATTAGAATTCATTACTCGCCATGGACGAAGCTTTAAAACTTTTCCTGTTATTTTGCAGTGCCCTTTAAAAATAACACAAACGGAATATTTTGTGAATAATAAAGGTCTCTCATAATTTAACTTTCCTAGTTATTTACTTAGGTGCGACTTAAAAACATTGCTTTTGCAGTGGAGGCGTCTATTATAACGTCGTGCTGTTCAGAATACACCGAATAACATCCTCATGAGGTGATACCTACTCTTTTTCAGCGCTTACGCATCTGCTGCTTTGCTCCCGGAACACGTGCGCGGATTTGTCCTACGTTGTATGCGATATTTCTGATGGGCGAGACAATCAATACGCAGAGAATGAAAGAGAAATTGCGAAAAATAAAGAAAGAACAAACAATCATAGAAAAAGAGAGTAAAACAGAGAAAGAAGTAGGCACAGGCAGAAAGACATGGAAGTGATGGGGTATGAGCCCATTCGTACGGATTCATCTAATAAAAAGTCACAGCTTTGCCGGAAAGGCGAAGCAATGAACACGATAGCACCAAATTGAAAGGTCACGCGCAGAATGGAAAGCAGATCAAAACATGCCCCGCGTTCCTCACGCACAAATGATGCACAAAACGTACTCCCAGGTATGAATGCATGTGAATAGGCATCTCATTTGTTCCTTTACTGTGTCTGAAAAGCGCGCGCTTTCGCAAACAGAGACTGCAATGATCGCAGTGACGTTTGTGCACCCGGTAACTACAGCAGAATCGTTTTAGGTAAAGCCCGAGGCCAGCCAAGGCGTACGATCTTTCCCTCCTCGCCGCCGCGAACTAAGGGCACGTGAGGGAGCGTCGCTCCCCTTCTCTAAACTGAGCAAACTACGCGTAGGAGATTTAAAGCTCATTCACACTGAAAACGGTGCGTCAAAGTGACCAAGCGGGTTTTTCTATGCGGCGAGTGCTAGAACCTGTTCAGACCGCCCTCCTTCTATGGATCGTCGTGCGGCAGAATAGGAGGACAACTCGCGTTTTTGCGCACGTGTCTCTGTGACGTGTCAGCGCTTCTGCCGAACGTACACCCGCGCCGCCACTACGGCTCCGTTGCGTGGCGTTCTGATTGGCTGCGGAAAAGCAGTAATCCTCGGCAGGCGGCAAAAAATTGCCCTGAGAGCAATCGCCCTCGCCGCCTGGTTTTTCTTCCGCTTTTGCCACTTGGAGAAAAGGTTTTACCCGATTTCACGTCGCCGCCTCGCCACTTTGACTGCCCCGCATTCGGTGTGAACGAGCCTTTAGAGCGGCCGCCGCCGCGTGATGTGGTCATGTGCGCTCATTGTGCCATCTTGCTGGTAATGCCGAAACAACAATTCCCCCCCCCCCCCCCCAGTTGCTTGTGAGCAGCGGTAAGTGGTAGATATAAATGGCTCGCCGTTTTGAACGGTTACGGATGTGCTCTGGGGTGGCGCAGTGGTGAACGCATCGCTTTCTCGACGCAGAGGTCACACGTTCGTTTCCGTGTGCCGGAGTGTTTTTTTCTGGATTTCTTTCTTTCTTGCGTTTTCTTATATATATAATGTACGTACACATACACGGTGTATGACATCGATGCCGACACCGGCAGCAAAATCCAGCTGAGAGAGTCCATATAATTGCTATCGCAATAAAAAACAGCGCTAATTGAAGCGACAATGACAGACACTGACTGCCAACAAAGTTTAAATGTGCGTGCATAAACATAGACTTTATGAATAGGATGGGGGTTTAGAAAAAAACAGGGGGCAATAGCACTTTGATTTTGAATAAAATAACAAAATAAATGAGAGTTCTCATCATTACTTGGTGACAGCTACCCGTTAGCACTAAGTTGTTCCAATATAAAAAAAATAAAAAGCAACAACGAAGAGATATATACAGTCCTACACTGGCAGTCAAATGAGCAGCAGGGTGCGTTGTTACGATTACTGTAGGAAGCTATATTCTTTTCCTGAAGGTTGAATGGGGATACACTGACACACATCAAACCTCTACGCACTACTATGAGAGTGCTGGAAATTTTGCAAGTGAAATAATCTTTGTTCTTCGGATTTACGTTAGCACTGTTTTTATCGGATGAAGAGGAAGGCATATCAGGAAACAGCCAAAAAAGTAGAAAAAAATAGCGACACGAAATAGGAGAGATAAAAAAGTCACAGCTTTGCCACAAAGGCGACACAATTAACGCAGAACAAAAATTGAAGGTCGTGCGAAAGATGGCAAGCAGATCGAAACATGCCCCGCGTTCTTCACTCACAAATGGTAGAAGACGAAGAAGTGTGTTTTGAATAGGAGCTACTTCTGCTAACTCCGGCGTATTTCAGTTGTAATTTAGGTCTGTTGATCAGTTTCCGCTGCTCCCTTGGAGGGGATGGAAATAGACCACCCCGGGCGCCTGCCGGCACCAGCGGCGTCAGCGGCGACCGCCTCCAGGAAGTGGATGGGACTAGCGAGTGACAGCGACAGTGAAGATACTCATGCTTACTATCTCAGCAGTGAGGACTTCTCAGATGACGGTTTCCAACCTGTGCTGAGCCGCAAGGCGAAGAGAAGGAACATGAGGACATCCTCATCCTCAACTATTCAAACTGCAAGTGAAGCGCCAAAATTGAACACTTATACCATCCTGTTTCTGCCTGCACTTCTTACCGTCAGCATGAAACGCCTTAACAGACAGTCTGTGTCGAGGTATCTGGAAACGCTCGTGCCAAATGAGATCACGGACATAAGAGTGAACGTCAGAAAGAATATACTGGCTGTAGACGTTTTGCACGCAAGTGCGTTGGGCGTTCTGCGCAGTGTAACTGACTTGGACAGCAACCAGGTGCGCTCTCATGTTCCCTTGGGATGTGATGTAGTAACCGGCATGATCTACGACATTGATGTCGCTATTTCCGATAAGGACTTACAACTTCTTGTCAAGTCAACAACTGATACTCCAATTGTTGTCACCCGGCTAGGCAAGTCTCGCTGTGTGAAGATTGCGTTTAAAAGCAGATCACTCCCCTCTCGTGTGAAGGTGGGGTACTTCAGACATGCTGTGCGGCCTTTCATTCCGAAGCCTCTCCAGTGCCGTAAATGCATAAAACTTGGACATGTGAGCAGCGTCTGCGAGAATTCGGTGGTATGCCACCGCTGCGCCGAGCACCATGAAGCGGATAAGTGCGTCGCAACTGTCAAGAAATGCTCTAATTGCAATGGATCTCATGAAGCCACATCAAAGGACTGCCCGCGGATTCAGAAGGAAATTGCCATCTTGAAGGAGATGGTGCCCGATCACTCATCTCATCGAGAAGCCGCAGCTAAAGTCAGAAGGCGTCGTTCACGTCGACGTCGGTCTTCGAGGACGCCCGCTACCTCCTCGACACGTTTGCGTGATCCCTCATCAGTACCACCTTCTTTGCCTCCCAGATCACATTCCGTGGGAAAGGCTGTAAAGGACAAAGCCAGTGAGCATACCCTAACTGCGACAGAATGGCCTGCACTTCAAAGGGAAGCAGCATCAAGCGGACCGAAGGAGCTTCATGACGGCCAGTCCGCGCTCCCGGTTCGAGATCTTTCCAACCAAGACAGGCAAGTAACTGCAATCGTGCCGGTTTGAGATCTTTCCAACCAAGACAAGCAAGTGGCTGCAATCGTGCAATCATTAATTGCCACGATTCGCACGCTACTGAGCAGCATACAATCTCCGTCTCCTAAGAGTGCACTGCAAATACTGG